CTTTTGTTATCTTTGCCAGTTTTCTGGCTTTGTCATGAAGCTTTAGAATTATTTCAGTTTGCTTTTCATTACTAGTGATTTAGAGCAATCTTTCATTTGATTATTAATCATTTGCGGTTCTCTTGAAATTGCTTGTATCCTTTGATCGCTTGTCTGTTGGGAATGATTTTCATATACATACACACAAGTATGTATGTATTGGTGGTAGTTTAATATCTATATCTGTCTATCTCTTGGCTGTCAGCCCCTTATCAGAGACATTTGATTCAGAGCTTTTTTTTTCCTTTTTTTCTTTTGTAATTGACTGCTTTCTATATCCTAATTGTGTTGATTTAGTTTTGTAAAAGCTTTTCAATTTCATGTAATTAAAATTCTAGTTTATTTTTTGTGATCATCTCTATTTCTTATTTATATGAGAATTGTCTTCTAGCCATGACAATGAAAAATATCTGATATATCTAGGTGGTTTTTTTTTATGGTAAGATCTTTAGCATTCAGATCAGTAACCATTTTGATCTTATTGTGGTAAATAGTGTAGGATAGTGATTTAAACTAAACCTAATTTCTTTCAAACCTCTTTCCAGTGTTCACATTATTTCTTATCAAATAGCTAGTTCTCTCCGAAGTAATTTCTTGGCTTTATCAAATATTTGACTATTAATTCCTTTTGTTTCTCATCATCATTACATACTCTGTTCCTTGATCTGTTATCTAACTAGTTCCAAGTAGTTTTGTTGATCAAATGAGATGATATATAAAAACCTACATTTATAGTATAATTTGAAATCTAGAAGTGCTACTTTCCTATAATTCCTGTTTTTTTCCCCCATTATTTTCCTGGAAAATAATGAAAAAACCTTTTATTACCCTAAATGAATTTAATTAATTTTTTTTTTTGGTCTAGGTGTCTAAAAGTACCTTTTTGGCATTTCAATGATGTCACATTAAATCTGTCAACTAATTGAGCTAACATTATTTTTATTATATTAGTGAAGTATCTTTCAACAGCTATTTCCTAGGACTAAGCAAATTTACATTCTTTGAGATTAGGCTGATTTTTAATAGAACATGTTCATAAGCCACCAGTGTATACAAAGGAATCTCTACTCTTGAAAACATTATCACATCTTTCAGTCAGCAAGGTAACAGTAGAGGTGCTGCATGCCTGCGCCTGGAAATGACATATCCTTTAGTTCAAAATTTGAATCCTAAATCATCAATTTCAGTATGAGTCAGAACATACACACACAAAAGTGTGTGGGTGGGTGGGTGTCTGTCTGTATGTCTGGCTACCTAGGTAGACATACAGATAGTTAGATAGTTCAAACTATTATAATATATAGATATAGAATCTCTCGGTAGATAATTAAAACTGTTCAAATTGCATTTGAATACAACGAGTTCAGAACATAGGTGTACACTTGCTGAGTACAATAAATATTGAATGCCTTCTATGTGCAAAATAATTAAAACTGTTCAAATTGTGTTTGAATACAACGAGTTCAGAACATAGGTGTACATTTGCTGAGTACAATAAATATTGAATGCCTTCTATGTGCAAAGAAAGTACTGTGCTAGCCACCAAGAATATTCGTAGTTTAAATGAGACGTACAGTCCCTGCCCTCAAGGAGCTTATATTCCAATAAGGGATAAGACATCAACCAGGACAAAGTCAAAGTGCTATGTGAAGTTTGAGAGGAAGATCAGATTCTTTTTCTTGCCTTCCTTTACCATTATCGGTAGGGAGATTTGAACCTGAGCTCTAAGTTCAGTCTGTCCACTGCATTGCCTGGAGTCATCAAGGAAGGCTTCCTGGAGAAAGTAGAATTTGAGTTGGATTTTAAAAGATTTGTAAGAATTCAGCCTGGGAAGATGAGGAAGAAGGAAAAGCAATGAGGTCTGACAGTTTAGTGCTTATTCAGGAGGCAGATAATTGGAGTCCAATAGTCATTCTTGAAGTCATAATGATAATGAGTTTAAAGGTTTGAGTTCCTGTTTTCTGGGTTTTATTCAATGTATGGGCCACCATGGTATTGAAGGTGGCCTCAAGTATCACATAATATCAAAGGAGACATGCATTTGTTATTCTTTGAATAATCCTGGGTACTGCTTAGAGGCCTTTATTATTTAGTAGGAATGTAACTGGAGATGGTGGTTACATTGAGTATAGCCTTAGTGGTATAGGAAGTACAGGTCTGTGTACCTGTTCTCCATACTGAACTCTTTTTCTCCTTCCTAGAGAACCAACAAGTGCTGAAATCCATCTCATGGAATATATTGAAATGATCATGAATGACTGAATGTTTTGTCTCTGAGCTAATACCTGATGATAACAGCTGATAGTAATAGCTGATAAAAACGTAGTTTAATTATTGATTTACCAAGGAGGCTCTGAGTTGAGATTCCAGGTTATCTGATTCCACAGGCAGCTTGTGGAAGACACGGTTAATAATATGACACATGGAGAGCTGTAGTTGAAAAGTGAGTATGAGATGGAAAATAAAGTCTGTAAGACTGTTATATGAAACCACCAAGGAAGCATAATTAATTGGAAACAAAATCTGACTGCCAAATGCTAGAGAAGACCACAGTGCCAGAGAGCTTTGCATTGACAAATGGAACTGAAAGTTAAAAGAGATGAACATTATCTAAATGACTAAAAAATAGAAGAATGAAATGTATTTATTGTCCATGACCTGGGTTACAGTGTCTTCCCAAAATATCCAGTTTGCAACTAATAGCTTCCTTTTCTTGGTAGCTTGTTCTCACCCTTCACAAGAGAGGAAGGAACATAAATCCTGTAGAAGATTGCATCTGGATTTCCTCCTTTAGTGGAAGGGATAATCATTTTTTTCCCTTTCTTCTTTCCTGGTCAGAAAAGCTTCATTTGCTAGTGATTACAGATGGCTTCTCTCAAAATGCAGAAATAGATATGAGTCTTCTTATAATTCAAAATGTTTTATATATCTGAAACTTGTTTTAACTTCATTTTAGAGCCCTAACATCTTTACCTTATCATTTTTCATCTGTTTTAATTAATTGGTTTAAGTTCTCTATCTTATCTTCCTGATATGAGAAAGAAAGCTTATTTTTATAAGTTTGATATCAGTAATATTTTTTTCCTTCCATTTGTATTTTTTGATTAACCTAATATCTCAGAAAGCATTTTGAAGAATTGGCACAGAAGTCAGATCAAAATGAGAAGATCAGGAAATGGGTGATTTAAAAGATGAAAAAGGAAAACTGCTAATATTTTCCATATATCCTTCCCTAACTGTAGTGTCAGGCCACTGGCCTTATTGAATTGAATTTGGGCTAGCTCGTTCAGGGGGTGCTGCTTGTACTGTTCCCCCTGCAAGGTACTTGTTACTAAGGGATATGTCTAGTATTGCAAAATGGGGTATGATGTCTTCTGAGTCTCTGCATGAGAGAAAACTTCACTAACGACTGGCAAGTGTGAAGGTGTTTGCTCTCAGCAAAGTCATGAGCTTCATGGCATTAACAGAAGCCTTGATTTTTATCAGGCTATCTTATGAGAAAAGACTGCTTTGTTCTAAAGAATAAGATGGCAATATTTAAGTGAACTGCAGCCTGAAACACAATTGCTGGGGCATTCCAGTTGTTTGAGTCTTACCAGCATTTAGGGTAGTACTGACTGCTGGTGAAGTCTGACAGAAAGAAAAGACAATGCTGTGCTCTTCCAGTCATTTGCCACTTTCTTCAGTTACTGGTCGGTCACTTACTATTGTAGACCTGAGTCTTGAAAATATTTTTTCCTTTATCCCTTTCCCTCTACATCTTCTTCCTCAAATCCATTGACCCTACAATTTAGAGGGTAGCAGAGTTGTGTTTAGAGAGGAATTGTTTTGTTCTGGTACCTTTTTTACAAAATTATAAGCTGCATTTCCTTGTGATGCTTATACAGTATCTTGTGTGTTACAAATCTAGACTGTGTTTTCTTAATGTCTTATTATAATTGGCTTTATTTCTTAAGTGAATATTTCTTAACTAAACTGTAAGCTTTGTGAGAATAAGGGACTGTGCCCTATAGTTGTCTTGTACACACTCAGTACAAAGTAGGCACTAGGGAGAGTTGACAGCTGACCAAGAGAAGTTAGAAAAAGGCATACATCCTAGGCCTTTTGTTGTTTAGATTATTGTGCACCTTTACTAAAGGCAGGTAGCTTGGTCTCCCAACAGTGACTATTCCTTTTATCCTTGTACCTCCCTTTAAAATTTCTTCTTAAGAGCCTCACAGTCACAATATTGGAGAATTGCAAGGGACTTGAGTGGCCAACCCATACATGAAAGGAATCTGTATTGTAACACACACCACAAGTTATGAACACTCAATAAAAAACATTAAAAGTGTTGTTGCTTTAAAGTAGTGCATGTATTTGTGAAAGAGGCAACTCACTTTACATAGTATTTAAATAAGCACCTCAGAAAATATTTCATATTCGAATACCTGTCTATACCGGCTGAAAGCATAGATTAAGACCCAATGTAGCAGATTTGTGTAGTGGGAAAAAAGGGTGAATTAGGAGTCAGAGGCCCTGCTTCTAATCCCAGCTCTGCAACTTAGTGCCTGTGTGACCTTTGGCAAGTGACTTAGCCTCCTGAGCCTCTGTTTCCCCTTCTGTAAAATGAGGGTGTTCAGCTCTAGAAGTCTATGGTTTCCAGTTGTAAATATGTGGTCTATGGAAGCTTCAGGGGATGTGTATTTGAAATCTGAACAGCGTGGGACCAGTTGGTACTGGAAATAGCCATTCTTCTGCCCTAGGAAGTACCATATTTCGAGGGGGTTTTCCTTTAGGTCCTTTGCAAAAGCATCATAGTGAGGAAGGTAAGGGTACTTTTGCTTACATTTGGACACATTCTGTGTTGGCTACAGAGAACTTTTTTGACTACATCTGGAAATCAAGTATGTGGCATAAATAGTTGGCCTTCTATAAGTATCATTCTCAAACCTAATTTGGTTTTCTGTTTATCTCCACAGAACATTCAGAAGATGCTTGGCCTTGCTCCTTCTCGGGCTGCCACCAAGCAAGCAGGGGGCTTTCTGGGTCCTCCAACTCCGGCTGGAAAATTCTCCTGAGACCAAGCTCAGAGCTTTTTCATTCCTTTCCTACTTACTCAGACACTTAAACCAAACTGCTCTTATTTTGTCCTGAGCAGTGGGCACTGTTAGCCACAAAGGCCACTTCCCAGCTTTCTGAGCTAGCCTCAGGCCTCTGTACACGATTGGAATGAGAACAGCATTCAGCAGACAAGATTAAAAATTGTACTTGTCTGTCAGAGTTGAAAATTTTAAAATATGTGTATGTTCGTTAGATAAATTTAAATGCTATTGGTATGGTTGAGAAACAAGGAATCTTTCATGTTATGCTTGTCATATTCTAAGAATATTTTTGGTATGGCCAGTTCATAATTCTGATATGTGCCATATGCCATGGAAATGGTCTAGGCATGAAGTCATGGGGAGCTGAACTGAAAACAATCATTAGATCTAAGCACACTCAAAGAAAGAATTTGTTACGATCCTTTTTTTTCCACAGCTAAATGTTAGGTGACTACCGACTTTAAGAAGAACCTAGTTTGTGCAACTTCATACATAAAATAATCTTGTAGTCTAATAAATACACCTTGTTTTAGCATGTTTATGAATGAATGTCATCTTTAATAATGAAAGCTTAAGCTGCATCTAGTGGGAATCCTGGTATGAAAGGAATAAAACAAGTTGACTGGTTTTGTCCTAACCTTTATGACCTGCCTCCTCTATTTGAACATCATGCAGAGCAGTCACAGTGCGGGAGTTCATAACGATGAGCATCAGGTAAATGTTTTGTAGCCTGGCAGGCTTTAAAGCATGCCATTCATACCTTGAAGCCTAATTGCAAATTGCTGGATTTTCATGGAGATCTTCCCCATTGGTAGAACAATATGTACCCTTTCCTTTTTATTTCTTACGATTGTGCTTCAGAGTTTCTACTTGGCTGTGGTCTTTTTTATTAGGAAAATCCCTCTTTGGAAGTCCCCCTTTTATTCCTGAAGCTAAATAAGAATCATAGTTAGCTATAAGGGGCAGGATGCTTGACTTGACATGTCACCCTCTACATACGAAAACAGAATATCCTGTCAGTTATATTTGCATTGTAATTCTTAAGGAGGGAGTTACGTTCAGTACGTGTATGCCGTGGAGAAGACTGGTTTTAAAATGCTAATATCAGAGAGGTTAGGAGGTTTTAAATATCAGAAAAAAATTTGTCATCTTCCCACAGAGCAACTTGCTGAGGACGAAGCATGTTGAAATGTCAACATCCGATTTAATTTATTTTACTACTTTTATACCTTGTAAAGAGAAGCCAAGACAGTAAGGCTCTTTTATGAAACCTAAGTCACGTGGAATGCTGTTTCACATGATAAAGCTGGCAGCAATGAAAGGGGCAGATTGGAAGAGCTCTAAGTTTTGAGAATTTGAACTGATGACTCTATCAGTACTATAAGACATATAAATGGAGAACATGAAGAGGTCATCTAGTTTCTAAGTGTGTGACCCTGTGCAGTAGACATCTTATGAAGGAGGAGCCTAGGCATGCCAGTCTCATTTCTCTAGTGCCACTAAGACCTCCTCCCCTGAATCTGATTAGGTGGCTTCTGCATCAGTATCACATAGACTTTGCTGGAACTAGGTAGTTGGATGATTATGCATCATGCAAAACTATTTGTGATAGACATTTTAAGTGATCTGTTTTGTGAAGTTGCATGTTCTGAGAGAGGCTCTGTAATCTTTGGTATTAAATAGGGTAGTTATGCTTGAATTTGCCTCTTACCCTTTGCTACTTTCCAGTTGTGTTTACAGCATATTTAAGGAAGAGTTCTTTCACTCTTAGAACCAAAGGTAAAGCTGTAGTCCTACTTTTAAGAAAGCCCTAAAATGTCACAACACATTTCTGTTCTCTAAACATTCGTAATTTGTATTTTTATTCATCTTGTTTGTCTTTATTTTCTTGTCCTATAGCAGACATCTTATATTTATATTTTAAAGAAACAAAAGAAGACATAAAAGCATATACCCTTTTGCTGTCCGTTTCTTATGTTATCTTTTTTGGTTTAAAATGTTGCTGCCAAAATAACATCATAATAGCTTACATTTATATAACCATTTACAAAGTCCTTTACTGGCAACCCTGTGAAGAAGTTAATGCAGTTGGGATCTAAACAGATGCCAATAGACCAGAAAGGTAAGCTGAAGCTAACACAATGAGTTGTAATTGGAATCAGTGTCTAGTATTTGAATTTAAGAATGAATTATATCAAGTTCAGGTTGGAGTAGACCTAGATCTTAGAAGGCAGTTCATGTGAAAAAGACCTGCAACCTGGGGTTCTCATTTTTAGAGCTCAGTTGAGCCAGAAGTGTGTTGAGACAGACAAAAAAGTTAACAGTTTAGGCTGTATTGATAGATCTGCACTGTCCAGAATGAGAGAGATAATAGTCTTCTTATATGTGGCCCTTATTATAGAACTGGAAGGTTGGAAGGCCCTTCAGGAGCCATCCAGTCCAACTCAGAAATGAAAAGAATCCCTGTTCTAGCAAAAGACATCCAAGGAGGGACCAATGGCTAGCTCCAGAGGCAGCTGTTTGGAACAGCCCTATTTGTTAGGAAGTTTTTCCTGACACTATTAAGCCTAAATCAGCCTCTCTGCAACTCCCACCCATTGATTTGGGTTCTGCCCTTTGAAAGCCAAACACAAGTGGAATTCTTTCACCATATGGCCTCAGTCAGGTACCCAGAGTCTTCTCTGTGCTAAGCATGTCCTGTTCCTTTGTCCTAACTTCATCTGACATCTACTTGAGGCCTTTCACCATCCTGAGTGCATTTCTTTGGACACTCCAGCTTATTAATGCCAGAGCTGGCCATTGTATTCCACAGGAGGACAGAATAAAGTAGAACTATCACTTCCCTATTTCTGGAAGGTGTGCTCACAGCACAAGATCACATTAGCTTTTTTGTGGTGGTCTCATTGAGCTTGCAGTCCTCTAAAATCCCTACTTTTTTTTTTCATACTAGCTGTGATCTGTTTGACCTATCTTAGTCCTTGTGAAACATATTTTTCTAACTCAAGTGTAAGACTCCGCATTTATCTCTACTGACTTAACTAGATTCATCTCAGTTCTCTAACCTGTCAAAATATCTTTTGAATCCTGACTATTGTCCAGTGTATTAACTGTCCTTCCCATCTTTGTGTCATCTTCAAATTTCATGACTGTGACATCTATGCCTTTATTGGAGTTATTTATAAAGTTAAGCAACACAAACAGTAACTTGAGAAAAAGTCATGTAAAGATACCTAGGGTACTCCACTGGAGATTTCTTGTTTTGACAGTGAGCCATTAACAGCTATTCTGAGTCCGACCATTCAAGCAGGTTTTTTTTTTGTTGTTGTTGTTTTTTTTAGGCAATTGGGGTTAAGTGACTTGCCCAGGGTCACACAGCTAGTAAATGTCAAGTGTTTGGTCTGAGACCGCATTTGAACTCAGGTCCTCCTGACTTCAGGGCCGGTGCTCTATCCACTGCACCACCTAGCTGCCCCTCAAGCAGTTCTGAATTCGTCTGTTTTATCGTTTGGCCCACAGCCTTCTCTGTACAGGAATATATGCAAGAATTGTAAGAGATGTTTTACCAAAAGCTTTGCTAAAACCTAGGTAAATTATATCCACAGCATTCTCATCTACTTGTTTAATGATCCTGTCAAAAACAAGAAATGAGTTTAGTCTGGCATGATGAGTTATTGATAAAGTTGTACTGGTTCTTGGTATTCATTGATTCACTTTCTAAATGTTCACTCTGAAAACCCTACACACTCCAAAGGCATCAAACCCATCACGGAAGTAGAAGGATGTCTACCCTAAGCTTGTGAAGACTACCCCCTCCCCACCACACATAAAATGGGCAGATGAAAACAATTTGTTGCAATGACCATGAGGATAGCTGAAGCAGGTACTGTGGAGTGCTTAGAGTTTGGTCAGACATCAAAGATGCCAAGGTCATCCACCGCATCCTGGGCCATTGCTAGTCATCTTGACTTGGTCCTATGACTGGACTTTGATGTCTCTGGAAGAGAGAGTGAGGCTGATGACTGTGTAACTCTGCCTTATTTTAAACCAATTCACAGATAATTCAAGACATCACCTATCCACTATTTTGCCCCAACATCACAATATCTTTGGCTATTGTCAAAAACAAAGGATGAACAAAAACAACCCCAAAATGTTCACCAACTATCTCTTGTATGATCTGTTAAACTGCATCTGGTACATGGTGTCAAGGACTGGGCAGCTAGGTGACACCGTAGTCTGAACTTGGAGTCAGGCATACCCGAGATCAAATGTAGTGTCAGATATTTAGTAACTGCCTCAATTTCCTCATCTGCAAAATGGTAATAATAGCACCTACCTCCTAGGCTTGTGAGGATCAAACAGAATACTTACAAAATGCTGTGCAAACCTTAAAGTGCAATGTAAATGCTAGTTACATTTTAGAAAGGGTATTCACAGGCTGGCATGCATTCAAAAAAGGGCAGCCAATGTGATGAGTGGTCTTAACACTATGCCATGTATTTAATTTTGCTTCTGTTTTCTAAGAGAATAATCATTAGACTGAGAAAGAGAATAAACATAGTTAACAGTTGAAATGTAAAATAATCAAGTAGAGGACAAGGACTTATATTTCCAGGACATAGCCTAGTACCTGGTACTTAGTACATTCTTAATGCTTGATTTCATGAGTTTGAGGGAATTTCACTCTTCAAGATGTTTGGCGGTTCAGATGGTCTGTATCTCAGGATGCTGAAAGGTCTGGCGGGTGTGATTGGTTTAGAAGCTAGAATACTAGACTTGGTGTCAGGAAGACATGGGTTCATATCTCACTGCTTCCACAACAGCACAGGGTGGCCAGGGGCAGGGGTGAGGGGGAAGGGGGAGAGGTCACCAGGTATCTTATTCAATGGAGTTGAAAACAGGCAGAGCAGTAGATGCAAAGTAGAGTGAGCCGAAAATTGAATTGGGCAGAGTTTGCTACTCTGCCCCCAAGACCTTCAATGACAGGGGAGAGAAGGCTGAGGGAGGTGATATCTATCAAGGTGTGAGTTAGCAGCATGGGTGAGTTTAGAAGTGATTAGCTTATCCTAAGAGAGGCTGTTATTTTGTAGAGTTCCTCCTTGCACACCTGGTGGCACAATGGGTAGATTACTGGGTCTGGAGTGAGGAAGACTCATCTTTCTGAGTTCAAATCCAGCCTCGGACACTTACGAGCTTGTGTGACCCTGAGCAAGTCACTTAACCCTGTTTGCCTCAGTTCCTCATCTGTAAAATGGGCTGGAGAAGGAAATGGCAAACCACACCAGTATGTTTGCCAAGAAAACCCAAATAAGGTCAGAGTCTGTCACAACTGAATAATGACTGAACTAGTTCCTCCTACCTTTCCAATTTATTTTATACTTTCTCATACTCAAATACTCTTCAATTCAGTGACGCTGGCTTTTTTTGCTATTCCTTGAATAGGACACTTCATCTCCCAAATGGGTATTTTCCCTTGTACCCCATGTCTGGAACTCTCCCTCTTCATCTCTCCTGACTTCCCAGGCATCTTTCAAGTCTCAGCTAA